TTTATTTATTCAATATAAACTAAGGTATTATTGTGTTTTTTTAATTTTTGTTCTGTTTAAAATTTTAAGAAAGATCCTTCTCGATAAGGAGACTCTTATCTTATTAGGTTAAAATTTAACTATTCTAATATCAAAACATATTTTTTGCATTTTTCTTTTGCTATCAATAATACATCTTATGTATAAATTTATAATCCTTGATATTTGAACAAATAAAATAGACTTTTTGATATTTTTAAAACATAGATCAAGTTCTCATGAATTTCATAAACTTATTATTAAATTTAAAAATTCATGAAAAGATATTAACAAAACTATTTTTCTTAATTTTTTGTATTTGTATTGTATTTTATTATTTATTATTTATGCAAATACGATTTTATTTTTATATTTGAGAGACCTGGTCATATGCAAACAAATAAAAATGTATTTTTATATATTTTTAAATAGAAATTTTTTTATTATTTTTATTTTTTTCTCAAACATACTCTTATTTTAAAACCAGTGACAGAAAAATATCTAACACACCTTAAAAACTAAAAAATATTACTTTGATGAAATCAGCACAGTTTTAAAGCTAGTTTAAGACTAGGACAGACTTATCTTAGTAATATAGGCCCAAGAACCAATCTAATAATGCCAACAGATGGCCCAAAATTCCTTTTTCATGAAACAAATCCAGCCTAAATAGAGACCCAACCTCCTTTCTCGTCATCAGTCAGGATTGATAGCCATTATTTGGCAAATTTGAATGCCACCAATATAAGCATTTTTTTTTTCCAGCAATTACACAGCATACACTTGCATATTTACACCATATGTAGAGGCATGCCACAAGAAGAAGTAAGAGAGAAACATTTCCTGGCTTATGGTTGAAGGCTTGCTGAGGTGAAGAAGTTGCTAGATGCTTACAGAAGCTGGAGTGTTGGCGTTTGTTGCTCACGGTGTTGCTGCTGTCGTTCTCGGCTGGAACATGATGTCACGGTGAGGCTGCTGAAGACTTTGCTGATGTAGCTCTGGTCCAACACTAGGGCAGAGCTGCTGCTGGAAGAGAAATGTGTTTCGACTGTCAGGTGCGCTCCTCTATTGCTTGAGTTACCACTGTCGTGACCAAGAGGAAGAGAAAAACTGTAGGTGCTTTGATACTGTTACTAAGAAAAAGCTGTCGCAAAATTGCAACCTTTGTTGTTGCTATGATGAAGAGGAAAAGACCGGCTATTACTCTGCTACTACCACTTGAAGAAAGTTGCCATACTACCGTGACCAATGGTTGCTGATGGAGAAGATCTTCCGCTGTTACTCAAGGTGCAGAGGAGATAAAGGCTGAGCTGCTATTGCATGACTGAGGAGACAGTTGTTGCTCCTGCTGCTGCTTGCCACGATGCGGAGAAGATGATGCCGGATACTGCTAAGGAAAGTCTTCTAATGCTGCTGAGGAGCTGTTGGTCCACTGCGCACGGTGCTGTTGCTGATGAGCTGTTTGCGTACCTTAATTGAATCATATAAAAGCAATTTTATATAATCTAATTTAAAACTCAACCTATATAAAAAATCAAATAAAATAATTTTAAAATCAACTTATTAAGCTGAAATTAATAATAATATTAAAAAGTTCTTTATATTCTAAATATTTAAAAAACAATTATTCTAATTCCAAACACGAGCAAGTTATCTAATTTAAACACCAAATAATTATTAAATATGTGTTTATAAGTAACTCTCTAGCCCTTTTTTTATTATTATTATATAGTATTATTGACACAAACTTTCTAGCTTTTGGAAGGACCTTTTTATTAAAATAGTTATGGACTTTTAAAATAATTTTCGGGCATTACTCATTTCATAATTATTATTCTTATGGAATTTTAAATTGAATTTTGATTATTCTAAAATTTTTAATTTCGTTTAATTTAAATTAGAAAAGAATACGAAAATAATGCAAATTCTTTATTGGAAAAAAAAAAAGAAAAAAAAAGGAGACAATACTTCTTTTTTAGAATTCTTATTGGGCTGGCATCTGCAAGGCCTTATATTCTTTCATTTTTTTTGACTTGTCATTTATGGGGTGGGTGAGTTCCGTTCACTTTATTTATGGCTGCTTGAAGAACTTTAAATCAAACTAGAGTTCCTCTTTGTTTTTTATACCAGCCCACCCAGGAAAAACCCTTTTCTCTGTACCAACATCTCCTATGCTTCTTTGATTTCATCCTCTATTTGCACTCTGTTCAATTTCTGTGCAACAGAAAGGGTTTTTCTTTATCAATGGCAACTCCAGAGAATACAACAGAAAACGGTTTTCTCAAAGCCAAGTCTCCACAAGGCACGTCAACCCCAGGTCGACCACAGAGGAGTTTCTTCATGGCTCAAATCACACTTAGGATTTTGGCCATTGCCTTCACAGTGGCTGCTATCCCTATAATGGTTACCGCGAAGGAGCCGGTCTCTTTAATCGGGCTGAGCATTGCACCACGTTACAGCCAAAGTCTTGCCATGAAGTAATTAAACACTAAGCATGTGCTTTGATCTTGTGGGGGTTTAAATGCAGGTTTTAATTATATTAGACAGGATATCGCGTGTCAAGCTTTTTGTGTTTCTGGGTTGTCTTGTAGGTTTTTGCTTGGTGCAGATGCAACTGTGTGTGCCTTCTCTGTGTTGTCGCTGCTCTTTCTATGGCCCCTGAGCCGTTCAGGATCACAGACCACCAGTTATTTCCTTTTGTTTTTGCATGATATGGTAAGAGTGTTGGTTTTCTAATACATGAATATAAGCATGAGGTACGACGCAAAAATTAGATGTCACCTACCTAATTAAAGTCATTTGGTCACCAAATGTTTTTTGTTTTAACGGATATCAAGGCGATTTTTTTTTTTTAAAAAAAAACCTTTTCTTTTCAACAGTTTTGTTGGAGACTTATTATCATCTTCATGCTAGAGTTATTATTCTACAGGAGTTCTGGTTTACCGACTCAGCGATGTTTAGTTGAAGTTCATGAACATAGAGATTAATTGATTATAGTCCTATGAAGTTTACAAAAGCTTGGTCCCCACCCAATTTAATGATGATTTGAAAGGCATATTGGTTTTCAAGTATTACTAACGCCAATTTACACCTAAGCAAATTCACCAACATTCTAATAGTTTTGTTAGAATGGGGGCCTGCCCTCTTCCCCGATGGGTTCCCTTGATCCACGTCCTGCATTCATGCAATTTTGCTTCACGAGAAATGATTTTAAGACAGAACGTTATAAAATGCTGATAACATGGTATGTATTTGATTGAGGAAGTCATCACCTTTTTCTCTTCTTAGTTCATTGTATTCCATTATGCATTATTCACTTTACCTTCTCTCTTGGTTTTAGTACTCAACTTTGTACTAGTTGTTTCTCTGTTTCTTTTTTGCTTATTTGAAAAAATGCATTGCAGGTGATGACGGTGTTGATGATATCTGGATGTGCAGCAGCAACAGCTGTTGGTTACTTGAGTAAATATGGTCAACGAGAGGCTTTTTGGAATCCTTTTTGCAGTTACGTGACCAAGTTCTGCCACCAACTCTTGATATCTACTGTGCTATCATACCTTGCTTTCTTTTGCTACCTGGCACTCAATATTTTAGCTGCTTACAAGCTCATGTCTCATGCAACTGAGTGACTTATGAGCAGTGAAGAGTAGAGGCTGACCAGGAAAGTTAAACAAAGAGGAAATAAGGTTAAAAAGGAGCTTCTGATTGACAATTGATTTCTGGTCCTGGATGCCTTTTGTTTTACAAGATGAAAGAGGAGTAGACGTGTCTTCGTTTTATTCTGCTCGTCATTGGAGGAATTAAAAGAATAGATCACGTAAACGATTGTGTTTTGGATAGTTGTAAATTTTTATTATAAGGGCAGCTGACTAAAATTTCGTGAACCTTTTAAGGGCATTTGAATCATGCTTTCTCATTTTATGTTTTCTATTCTCGAAATTGACTCTCAACACTTCCTCGTTTTATATTTGCTAAGAAATAATGTTGTTACTTTAGTCGACTGTTTGTAGCTATGAAGTCTTGAAAAATCAAGAGTTGGGAAATCAGATGTTAACCTATATGAAGATTCTTCCATGACCGGAGCTACCATATCCAACTTTTGCTGCACGCACTGCTGATGAGTTTTGCTTGTCTGGTGATCATCACAAGAACCATTCCAAGATTAATTCTAATGGAAAGGATACATCTGGTGCCTATTTGTCTAGCATCGAAACAGAAGAACATGATTCTAGAGATACAAACTCTTTACAAGTTTTATTAGACAGCGTTTTAAACAAAAATTTACATGGATGTGGAGACAGATCAAGAAAGTATCTTGTTGCTATCCTATGGCAACTTGGTAAGGTATGGTACTGTATTAGCCTTGCGTGGCATAGTTTCAAGTTCATTAGAGCACAAAAGAAGAGTTCATAGAGGGTTTCATTAAGTTCCAGTCTCATCTTCAGAATCTTTGAGGTGCTCCTTTAAGGGCTGACTATGTATGCCCCACTTATCGCGATCCCATGCTGGATCTATTTCCGGCAATACATAGTCATCAGGTGCCAATGACAACTGGAAATCTGGTAGGTCAGGCAGTGCTTGTAGAGCCCTGCATCATTAACTTTGTTAGGATCTCTACTTTTTTTCGCAGATTCAACTTTTGGACAGTAATATAAACAACATAAGATGAACTGAAATACAAATAAAGGTCAACTGGAGAACCACACACTTCTCTTCTTCCAAGAGGTAGCCATACATCTGAGACTTCCTTGATGCAACTTCAGGAATTTTCTGATGCAAGTGCTTCATTGCACCCCAAAGCGGAGGAGATCTTCAAGAAAATTCAGGGAAATAAGCGTAAATAAAATTTCAAGGACAACAAAACAATTACCTTTCTTAGGTACTTCTTACAAAACACTGCCCAAACCAACCTGGTAACAGGAGCTGTGAGGCAAAAGGTTAAGCAGGCCTTCTTGCTCTCTGACAAAAGCCCACCTGCAGCTAGAAAACAGCATACAGCACTAACATGACAGGCTGGTTCGGTGCCCTTGTCAAGGATCAGACCATGGTAGTAGTAAGCTGCAGCCTAATAGGTTGTGTAGAATAATTAGAATCAGTTGGTGCAAAATTATGAAACGCAACTCTAAGATCAACACAGCAATCAGAATTTAAGAAGTTGACTGCAAAGAAAACCTTTGCTTCAAGGAACTTCCACTTAATGAAACAGAGATGCTTCTTTCCATGCCCATTACTCATGTCAAGCCCTGACAAGAAGTGATAAGCCTGAAATGAGACAAAGACTAACGATGAGAGTTGAGAAACAATGAAGGTCAGTGAGCTTAACACCTAAGAAAAGAAGTTAAGTTTACCAAATGCATCAAGAAAATATTTTAAGAAATAGTCTTCTAGTACATACTAAATGAAAGTTATCTGTTCCTTCAGTTGACTGGTGAATTCTACAGAAAGAGGCTTCTAAAATCATAATCGTTGAAATAGATGCAATAGAGCATCGTGTAGGAGCTTGACAAGTCAAAGTCTCAGGAAGAATTAGAGCATAAATACAAACCTGACTAAAGTAGATCAGCTGTTCACATGCCAACCTCCTCTTCACAGATAAAGAAGCCTTTTGACTTTCAACAGCGAAACCGAGCTGAATTTCAGTTCCCTGAACTTGAAAGTAGTATTAGTTTCCTCTAATTCCCATTTGATGATAAAATGCCAGACATTTTGACTTATAATTGGTTGTTACAAAATAGAAGAGGTAATAAATGTCTGTTAATCTGCATTTTGAAGGAAACACAGAAGCTCAAGACAATTGCAGAGGTCGACTAGCACCATACCTGGCCTAGCGCTTGAATGGATATAGCCTCCAGGACACCATCTTGGAAATCTTTTGAAAAGGTTTTCCTGAGTACACAGAATCAATGACAACTATTCATATTGACTCTAAGTCCCACGAAAAATCCTTAATTCTGCGTCTTTCTTAACATACTTGATATCTGGTGGTAAACGAGCCAAGATTTCACGGACACAGAATACCAAGCACCCTGATGCCTTAAGCAGTAAATCAACAGCATCCCTCTTACAATCTGGGTTTTACGTTATAGATTAATCACAATCCATTGAGTCAAAAAGAACTACCTCTGAATAATTCATGACTAAAAATAGAGCGTTGAGGATAAGAATGAGAACCTGAAGATACAACCCTAATGCCAGAACCAGAGCGATCCTTAGGGATCATCAATGTGTTAGCCTCTGACAAAGTAAGCATTGCTATCATGTGAATGACAGATAATAATTCAAACCAGGAGTTTGCCACAGAGTTTTCCTGCTCAATCATATTTCAATTCTAATTACCAGTCCACTACTAACAACAAAGGTTTTCCAGAAGCAGCCGAAGGTTGAGAATTTGATAGACTTACCTGCCGGCCACTTTCCAGATTTTTCCACTTGAACTCGACCAAGCCCTCGAGTCCATGTTCTGCAAGATATATATAGCAATTCATTAGAAAAGGAGAAAAGGAAGAGACTGACAAATGATTAGCATAGAAATGAGCCCTTAAAACCTTTCTTGGTGAGCCCAATAAGAAGAGACAAGTACTCTTCCAGTGCCCTCCTTAGTTCAGTCACGGCAGATCCACCTGCATTGCCCACAGTTTTTGTAGCAATTTAATTTCCTTTTCAATTCTTAAGAAATTCAAAATTCCCCTCCAAGAACTAATATACAGAATTCTCATCTACAATAATTTACATTCTTTCTCTATTTCTACACATCCAAAGAAAACACAAAAAATAAGAAACATTATTAGGGTTGTGAGAAACACAGCCCTGTATCCCCAGCCACTAACACAATCTGATTGCGAAGGCAGGCCAACCTATCAACAAGATCTTGAGGAATTAACCCTCTTAGTGGCCTTTGAAGATCAGAGTGTGCTGGTATTCTCATTGAAGGAACATACACTACCACTTCTGGTACACTTTTCTTCCCTCTCCCCCCAAGTGGATGCATAGAAGCACCGCATCCCATTTTTTTCTTCTTTCAATTCCTTCAAACTTTACACAAAATATATCACGTAAGAAGCTCTCTGTATATAACTCTCTATATAATAAAAAAGAAGAAGAAGAAAATATAAATATTTATTCAAATAGAAGCAAGTACCAGTAGAAGGTAACAAGAAATGAAATTGTCAAGGATTAAAGATTAATTAAGAACACTACAGACAGACATTACTAATAAAGTAATAGAGAAAGGAGCATTAATGGGAGCACTGTGCTGCATGAGAGCAGGAAGATTCATCTGTATACAATAAAGAAAGTACAAAACAGACGAGAAGAGAACTTGAAATGAAATGATCACTCAGAATCGGTGCAGAGAGAAGAGAAGAGTACTGGATGAAAATGTGAAGCTTCGAGGATGCATCATAAATGTTGATGATACTAGAGAGAGAGAGAGAGAATCTGAGCGTAGGAAGCTCAGGAACCGAGACATAGCTCACATGGAGGAGTCGTAGAAGTCTCTGCGTCGTTAAAGGAGCTCTTTGAAAATTCATAATCAACTTGTGATACTATTATTTCTTTAATCCAAGTAAGCTTTTAGTAAATGACCGGTTAGTTGATATATCTATATATATATATATATATATATATATGAAATAATGGTGAGAATTTGATAGCTGCTGAAAAAGCATTACACTTATCTATCTGATAGCTTGGTAGGCTTCAGTTAGGACTATCCAAGCTACATTCAGAGAAATTAATGTAGCCCTTGTTTCATTGAATGATTTTCCGGAATTACAGATACTTTTCTTGATTGAAAGCTTCAAAGTCTACTCACGTGGTTAAAAATAAGAAAGCTGTTTAAGACTTTTAGGTGGACTCGTGCAGAGTATCTGAAATGGTTCCTGGGCTTAGTGGTCCAGCCATTGATATATCATAATGCGAACCTCACAACTCCATGACCATGTGTAATGTGAGATTATGTATGTGTATATAAATATATAATCTTAAAACTACATTTGCAGTCAAAGGATATTTAAATAGAGGAGTACAGTGATCATGGATAGATCTGCCGTTAATTCCGCTAGGTTTAATACATTTGCCAGCGTCTTACATACGTGCATGATGAGATAGCACAGAGAAAATGAGATGAGCCAATTTCCAGCTTTATAGATGCACCACCATGTTACTTGGGACAAGACAGCCTGGTTCATGGATGACAGCATTCAATGTTCTTCACTAGGCTTAAACCAGATTGTTATCCCATGCTCCTGCTAGATAGAAAGTGTTGATTGTAAGAACTTTTTCAGTCATTGTCCTGTTTCTGGATAACTAAGACTCAAAATGGAGACCAAAGCCTAATAATAACTTTGACATCTTGGACTAAGAGTCAGGACTTGCTCATGATTCTAAATTTGACTGTAGTTCAAAAAAATTAAAAAGGGAAGCAATTAGTGATGATAATTGATAACAAACCAAGACATGAAGTGGAAGAAAAACAAAACATATAAAAAAGATAAAAAAGAAAAAAGAAAAAAAAGAAGAAGAAAGAAGAAAGAAGAAACCTCAATTTAGCCCCTGCAGATTACTCCATTATCAATAGAATCCCATATCTTTTGATTTTATCAAGTTTACCTTAGACTTAATGGATATTGGACAATATCATCCCTCCATTCATCCAATTTTAATGACAATTAAAAGATTTCATCCAATTTTCATAGTGGTTCCATCGAAGGTGTCAAAATAAGCCCCAATCTACCTTAAAAGATAATTTCAGTGTTGAATCATTGTGAATTTTTTTCCCCTTCACTCCACTAGCTTATGTATATATAAAATTCTGAAAATTACTATAATTTATAAAGGAATTGTTCTTTAGAATAAATTGCAGTTGATTTTCTCATTTTAAATTAAAATATTGACAAGAATATGCAAGTAGTACAAATTATGAGATTGTTGAAATCTTTCCATAAAAATGTCATTATGATATAGTTAATTTAGTAGAAAATGAGAGTTTCAAGTAATCGAGTAAGGATTTGTCAGAGTTAAATGGAAATTTAAAACCAAAAAATTATACAAGTAATCTAATAGATGTGTTTATAAACTAGTAAGACATAGTTATGTCCAAAAAAAATCTTGTTACACTAGACTAGTTAAGTATCGTTAAAGCTATAATTTTTTATTCAACTAGTGGATCAAACTCAAAATTTACGAGGAGATTATTGTGGCTTGGTTCTATAGGAGACCCTGTTATATGAAATTAGAAAGTGAAGATTTTGAGTAGTTGAGTAAGAAATTATCAAATTTAGATGGGGATCTGTTACCAACACATCATGCTTGATAACTTAACAAATATATTTATGGAACAGTGAAATAAAACTAGGTTTAAGAGGAGGTTTGGTCATTCTAAATAAGTGAAGTAACATTATAAAGTCATATCTTTCAATCTAGCTATTGGATTGAACTTAGATTTTATCAGTAATTTCCTAAAGTCCGGTTATATAGAAGGCTTGACTAAATGAAAATAGTCAAGCTCATGAAGACCTTTTAAAAATAACCAAGATTATCCTCAAACTTTTTATTTGTTGTTTGATGTTAAACTTAGCTTCTTCTTTTTTTTTAAAAAAAAGAGAGATTTTATTTTATTTTTAAATTAAATTAATTAGTTAAATATAAACATGAGATGCTTATTTCATTATATTTTGTTCGATTTATTTTTCAAGTTATTGCTCTAGTAATGCATGCTGTATCTTTTGGTGTTATTATACAGTTTTTCACAATAGAATCGCCTTAATAAACTCATCTGGTGATAGGGGTCATGTTCATCACCAAGCAATAGGGGTCTCCGACAAGTTTTTATGTCCACTTGTTCCAGGTATGATATTGATGATTTACTTTTTGTAGTTAATTATTATCAAAAAAAATTTGTTAGATTTATCTATTGATTTTTTTTTATTATTATATTATTAAATTAACCAAGTTTATTGAATTCATTTAATTCAATTACTAAGTCTTGAATTTTATTTTTTTATTTAAAAAAAACATTATTATCATCTTAGCATCTTTATTTTTTACATTAAAAGTAGTATGGCTTGCTACGTAGAGCTGGCACCAATCCATTTTTATCTTCTTGTTGTTAAGGTTTCAGAAAATTTGACCGAGAAAGAAGAAGTGCGTTCAGAGAACAAAAGCACTAGATTTGTAAAAACAAGCACACATGGACATGGAAGGACTGTGTTAAATACAAGGAAAAAATATATAGCTTTCGAAATCAGAGGGACTAAATTATTTTTAAGAAAATTCAAGGGATAAAGTCTAATTTACTCAAAGTTTAAACTTGGTTGCTCCTTAAGCTTTGCTTACTTAGGTTGCACGAAATACAGACACTAAAGATAGTTCGGATAGCACAAGTGAAAGTGAAACTTAAGAAATTCTACATCATAGCATGGTATTGAGAACCTAAAAGATCATCTGGATAGCATAGGCTAAACTTCGAAAGTTCTTGATTTATGTGGGAACTAAACATATATAATTTACTCCTGAACTTTCTCTGCCATCAGTTTTTTAGCCACAAAACACCAATCCACCGGGCGTATGCTTGAATCTAGGTACTTTCCAAGTTTCATCTATGCTAATCTAAATAATCTTATAGTCTGTGTGTGTTATAAACATTATGTTGGCATCAGAATATGTGTCTGCAAATCTTATGAAATTTGGAGGGTTGAAGTATCCATTAAGCTATTAACCTAAAGCTACTGCATTTATCCACCCTTCGCAGTAGAGGAGAGCTAGCTGGCCACA